ACAATGAGAGACTTTCTGTTACGCGTACGGCTGATTGCGGTTTGACGCGGTTCAAACCTCGTTGCTTGCCGCACATCTTCTTCCTCTCATTCACCCGCAATGCTGAGGACGTCAGATACGTGAAGCCTGCTGTTTCGAGCCCTTCAACACTCTGTCGCCTGACAAAATTATCCTCTCCTCCACTTGAAATATGTGTGTGAATGCTCATTATGTTTGCATAATCTGTAACACCCCCATCCTCCTCCCATCGTGTCCTCCCCTCCAACCCTCCCAGTCTTGCAAGCACCTCAATTACTCGGCAAACTCAAAATCGTTCCCACCCCCTCACGGTCACCTCTCTCATCGCATCCCTCCACACACCACAACTTCCCTTCTCAACCCTCCCAAACCCCTCCAAGGCTCGCAAGTATCTCTCACAACTGGGCAAGTTCTCGTGAGACTTAACTCCTATATTCTTTGCTCAAATTAATTCCTAACTCATCCCATCCCTCCTCACCGCGCAACTTCCATCCCCCCCACCCCTTCCCCATCCCAACCCCTCCCAGGGTCGCAAGTATGTCTCTCAACTGGGCAAGCTCAAAGTTGTTCCTTTATCCTTTACTTCCCTACCACCATCCCATTCCCCCCCATCCCACCCCACCCCACACCAACCCTTCCCAACCGCCCCAGGCTCGCAAGTATCTCGCCTCACTGGGCAAGCTCTCGCAGGCGTTTATCTTCGCCAAGATTGAAAGCATTCAGGTCTGTGGGTCTCCTTGTTCTCTTGCGCTCTTTCATTTCCAAGAAAGGGTGCTGCTGCCGCCGCCTGTGCTGCATTGTCGAGTCATTTCTTGATGTGCCTCAATTCCCGCCAAAACAACAAGCCTTTGGCCGTGTTGGTACACCGAATTTGAAGCTGTGGCAAGATGTGCTGTAGACCATTTCAAATTGGGGTGGGGAGTCCTTCGTAAGTGTTCTCTGAGTAGACTTTGGAGGGGAAGCGGGAGGGGGTGCTTTCAGTGGGTAAACTCATGTGTGTTGTATGTGTATTGTATGTGTGTGTGTGCATGCACATGTTTGCCTGCTTGTGCACGAGTACGTGTGGTATGTGCGTGTGTGTGGCTGCATTGCATGCATGCGTATGCGTGGACATGTGCATGATGTATCTGTGCCTCCACCCACACGGGCCACATCTGAGCAGGGGCTAAGGAAGATCAACGAGATCCTGGCAGAGGCCGATGGGCTCGTGCTGATGGTGGTGCTGTTTTAAGTCCATTCAAATGTGGCTGCTTGCGTGTTTGTGTGTGTGCACGTGTGAATCTGTGTCTCTACCCACCCACGAGCAGGGCCTAAGGAAGATCGATGAGATCCTGGCAGAGGCTGATGGGCTCGTGCTGGGGCGAGGCGACCTTGGAATCGACCTGCCTGCAGAGAAGGTATTAAATAGGGCTAGTTATCAATCGAGCTAGGCATAAACCGGGCTAGGTATCATCTAGGCCAGCAGAGTGCTTGTTCAATGGACCAACCAGATGTCCACTGATCCTCTTTCCTCTCCTCCATCATGCCAACAGGTGTTTCTGATGCAGAAGGTGGCGATATTCAAGGCCAACATGGCAGGCAAGCCATGTGTCATCTCGCGAGTGGTCGACACGATGACAGACACGCCCCGCCCCACTCGAGCCGAAGCCACTGACGTCGCTAACGCTGTTCTGGATGGTGGGTGGGATGGATGGTGGGTGGGATGGGTGGTGGATGGTTGTACTGCTCTGTGACCATGTTGAGTGACCGGTTAGTGATTGTGCTGTGCAGTGGGTATGCTAGCTGGTCACGACGACAGCACGCCCCACTGGGTGGTATGATGTTGGATAACAAAGGTGCCCCCTTCCTCCCTCCCGATTCGTCCTTGTACTCCTCCCTCCCTCCCCTTTCCCCTCACTGCATCAGGTGTTGATGCCATAATGCTGGGTGCTGAGACGCTGAGAGGGCTTTATCCAACTGAGACGGTTTCAACAGTGCGACTCATCTGTTCCGAGGTGAGTTTCATCTTCTCTCCGAGGCGAGTTTCATCTGTTCTGATGTTATCTTTTCCGAGTTGATCTGTTCCGAGGTGAGTTCCATCTGTTGGACCTCCAAATAGGCTTCGAATTTGCATGCACTCCCGCATGCCGTGTTGTGTGCCAGGCCTTCTCTTTTATGTTCTTCTCAAATGTTCTTCTCCCCCTCCCACAGGCGGAGAAGGCATACAACCAGGAGCTCTACTTTAAGAAGGCAGTCAAGGAAGCCAAGCCAACCACCTGACTGGGCTGAGCAGCCCTTCACATTCTTTGTCCTGCTCTCCTCTTCTCCCATCCCCCCAGGCGGAGAAGGCATACAACCAGGAGCTCTACTTTAAGAAGGCAGTCAAGGAAGCCAAGGCAACCACCTGACTGGGCTGAGCAGCCCTTCACATTCTTTGTCCTTCTCTCCTCTTCTCCCATCCCCCCAGGCGGAGAAGGCATACAACCAGGAGCTCTACTTTAAGAAGGCAGTCAAGGAAGCCAGTGACTCCATGAGCGAGCTCGAAGCCATGGCCTCATCTGCAGTGAGTGCCCTGCTGTAACTGGCCTGGATCAGCTTGTAGTTGGTAACTAAGGCCCTTGCTGTTGTCTGTAGTCAAGGAAGCCGACGACACCATGTGCGAGCTTGAAGCCATGGATTCATCCGCGGTATGTGTCGTAGCGGAGCAGCTTATAGTGGGTACTTACTAAGGCCTCACACTGTTGTCTCCAGTCCATTAATCTGACGACACCATCAGTGAGATTGAAGCCATGGCCTCATCTGCAGTGAGTGCCTGCCCTATTGAAGTAGCTTATACTGGGTACACGGAATGGGATCTCCTGCTAATAGAATATCTGACCAGTATGAAATGAAATCTCCTGTTGCTGTTGCTGTGCCCATGGTAGAGCCAATGTTGCTGATTATGCCATAGGTCGTGACAGCAGCCATAGGAAGAGCTCCCCACCTTTCATTGGTTTTTATATTACCAATGTTCTCGAGACGAGGTATTCTTGAGGCGCCTAAAAAACACGGGTGATATTATTCGCTCCCTGCCCATCCGCTGAGCATTCATAGCAGCCTGTACCGAACTTGGGCACAAGACCATGTGAGCTGGTGATGGTTGTCTCTTTGCAATGTTCTACGAGTGAAATGCGTCCATGCGTTTTATCTGGGATTTCACCTGGCAGGTGAAAACAGCGGAGAAGGTGCATGCCGCAGCAATCGTGGTGTTCACCTCCTCTGGAAGAATGGCCAGGTGCGTCACCTGGTAATCATGTCAGGTGCGTCACCTGGTAATCATGTCAGGTGTGTCACCTGTTGGTAACCATGCCAGGTGCATCACCTGTTGGTAACCATGTCAGGTGCGTCACCTGTTGGTAACCATGTCAGGTGCGTCACCTGTTGGTAACCATGTCAGGTGCATCACCTGTTGGTAACCATGCCAGGTGCGTCACCTGTTGGTAACCATGCCAGGTGCGTCACCTGTTGGTAACCATGCCAGGTGCGTCACCTATTGTCGTGTTAGCTGCTGGTATTCTCGGTTGCATCACCTGCGGGTCATTTCGGTATGTGAAATCAAAGTACAAGCCGGTGCATCACTTGGTGTTCAGGTGCAAGCTCCTCTCCTCTCCAAGTGCTAGTCATCGAGGCCTGTGGAGTAGTAGCCCCTCACTCGTCTCCCCCGCCCTCTGGTCCCCTCCCTTCCCTCCCTCCCCTGCTTCCCCTCCCTCCCCTCCCTCCCCTCCCTCCCCTCCCTCCCCTCCCTCCCCTCCCTCCCCTCCCTCCCCTCCCTCCCCTCCCTCCCCTCCCTCCCCTCCCTCCCCTCCCTCCCCTCCCTCCCCTCCCTCCCCTCCCTCCCCTGCTTCCCCTGCTTCCCCTGCTTCCCCTGCTTCCCCTGCTTGCTCTCATCACTGGCTTGTGTCCAAGTGCCATCATCTCCCTTCCTCCCTTGCCTCCCCATCCCTGCTTTCTCCCCCGCCTGCCAAACCCCCATCCCCATACCCACTCCCGAGGCTCGTGTTTAAGCACAAGCTGTCTTCGTCTCTCCCCCGCCAGCCCCACTGCCCTCCTCCACGCCCCTTCCCCCCCCTCACTCCCCTCTTTCTTTCTCCCCCCTGGCCCCACCCCAGGCTCGTGCTCAACTACAAGCCGTTCAAGCCTGTGCTCACGCGTGTCATTCCCTCCTCACAAAACTTCCACCCCCAATTATCCCTTTCTCCGTCCCCAGGCTACCTAAGTACAAGCCATCAACGCTTGTTCTCACGCCCGTCATTCCACGCCTCTTCCCCTCCCGCCCCTCTTCTCTCTCCCCCTCCACCCCCCTTTCCCCATCCCCCTTTCTCCATCCCCATCTCGCTCCCCCTCCCCCCCAAGCTCGTGTTCAAATACAAGCCGTCCTTGCCTGTGCTCGCGCCTGTCATTCCTTCTCCTCTCCCCCTGCCCTTCCCCCTGTCTCCGTCTTTCTCTGTTCTCTCCCCGCCAGCCCGGTGTCCAAGTCACAAGGCGCCCATGCCTGTCCCCCCCACGCTTGTCATTCCCTCCTTGCAGCCTTCCTACCTCCTTCCCTGCTTCCCCTGCCCCGCAGGCTGGTATCCAAGTACAAGCCCTCCATGCCTGTGCTCACACTCGTCATTCCGCGCCTCTTCGTGCAGCAGCTCAGATGGACGGTGCAGGGCGAATTTCCGGTAAGATGGACGGTGCAGGGCAAATTTGCGGTAAGGAGTGTGGATGAAAAAGGGCACACCAGTCCAGGTCCAGTTTCCAATACGATATTCCCGCCTCTCACAGCCAGGTTAACTCATGGGGGGTTGCCGCCGCATTCCACCTCACGTGCTCTGATGGGCCTTTGGAGGACAGCGCAGAGAAGTCTAGTTTTGAGGCGAGTATGGAGGCGCCTCAAAACTGGAGGGTTGCGGCGTTGCGCCTCAGATGCTCTGATTGGCCATAGGAGGGCAGTGCAGAGTGAATCAGCTAGGCGTGCCGGGCCTCACATCCACTGTGGTGTGTACAACACGCTGTACATATTGCTGATGTATGTATTTCTGATGTACGTATTGCTGATGTACATATTGCTACCGGAACTGGACCCAAGGCAACGGGCCCGTCTGCACAATATCTGAAGAGAGGGTCAAACTGTCGGTTGATTTTTATCTAGCCACATGCTACTTCCTTACGGCTCCTGACTCTCCCTGCCCCCTATCTTTCCCTCTTGCTGTCTGCTTGACCTTTTCCACCTTGCTTCCATATCATTGCTCATCTCTAGTTTATTCTAGGCTACTCGTAATCAATCATCCTCATTTTTCCCTCACTTGAAACCTCATTTTTCTCCTGCCCTCCCTTTCCCGAGCAACAGGCTCACATGTGTTGTCTTATGCGCGGCCTCATTCCAATGATGGCTACACCCAAGTCACTGGTATGTCTACTAAGTATTAAACACCTGGAGCTTCTTACTGCTAAAAGAGCGCTTACATGCTTAATAGGTGAAAAAAGGCCTTTATCACATAGTGGCACAGCTCAGGTCACTATTCAGAGCCAATGCTATAGGCTTAGATATAACTAGAAGATTGGTTTTGTTACTTCAGTGCCTCTCTTTCTTCCTCCTCTCAAAGCCCAAATCTGAACATCCTTTCCCCTGCTGCTACCCTTGTTTTCATCATCCTATGATCACTTTATCATACTCTTTCTGCTACCCTTGTTTCCACTTGTACTCTCTTGGGCAGCATTTAATGTATCAATTTATATGCCCTCTCGTACTCCACAGGAGCAGAGCGATGGATCCAGTAACGAGACAGTTCTTAAGGAGGCTATTCTCCAGGGCCAGCGCATGGGGGTGCTGAGGAAGCATGACCGGGTGGTGGTGGTGCAGAAACTCGGGGACTCCGTTGTGGTTCGAGTGGAAGAGGCCCTTCCGTACTCTTAAAGTGGGACATAATAATAGGTCGTCCTATGAAGAAACACTTTGTGCTCTCTAAGGGTGCCCCCACGACGATTGTGCAACAGGTAGACGTGTGGTTGGTTAGCTGTCTCCATGGAATAAAGAATGACTGCTCCACCAATTGAGTGGTGTTAGTGCCAATTAGTATGTGTGTGCAATGCGTTATTGTACTCACCAAGGATTGGCTACCATGATATGGAATGATGGACTTAGTGTCAGAAACCCAGCCACTAACCACTGGGTTAAAAGGCTTGTTGAATAGCAGGTAAGTGCGCCCATAGCCCCCCAGGCTCTGCATCTGTGGCCCTTCCCCGAGGATCTCAAGGGCAACCCCAGCGGGTCACTCAACACTTTGAGCGTGTTCCTATTAGCCTCTTCCCAGGCAACCTCTTCCCAGACTCACGCGTGACCTTGAGAGCGTGTTCCCAGGACCACATTGGAATACTCCCGTTTCATATTTGCGTTCAATCGCTCTCAACCAGGGCCTCAGATAGGATTTTAGGCATACTGATCAATCAGGGCGGGCCCCCAAAAAAACGTGTAGCAGTCAGGGTTGGTGGCTTATGTTCAGACTGATTCCTCAGGGTGGTTCTCCGCTCTATACTTTGGCCTCAGGGTAAATTCTCAAACGCTTGACATCTCAGAAGTCACTCTAAACAGCAGCAGCAGCACACTTGGCTTCACGCGTTGTGATGGGTTGAGGCACGAGTGGCCGAGTTTGCGTCAACTGTAGCGCACGAGGTAATCAGACCAGGAAAATTTTCTTCGTTTGACTGTCAGACAGAATTTTGCTGAGACCGGATGGGCGTTCAGCTTAAAGCGAATGAAGCCCCTGAAAACTCTGATGAAGTCAACGACAAGAAACGAAAAGTTGCATGAAAAAAACTGCAGTTCGATTTCCATCAAGCGGTTATGACGGCGTTTGACGAGGCTGGATGGTGAGGGCGCATTCCTCGCATGTGGCACACTCTATGGCAAGTCATTCTGTTTCCCAATTCAATGTGCAGGATCATCTGAATTTGTTTCTGGTAATCTTGACCGTGGAAAAACTTATAAAGTTAGCCACGAAGTATTCTGCCAAACGTGACGAATAATCCCTGAGTTGCAGTACTTGACGAGATTTTGAATCGACGTAACCTGGGCATCACGAATTCTATGAGGACTAGGCCAGAATTTTAGGGCTGCATAGAAGTTGTAGAAGTATGTCTATGGCAGGGAGAACTTAGCCGAAAAGTTTTAGTGAGTAGGGGGTGGGGCGGGGGGAGGATTGTCTCTAACATTTAGGACTTCGCCGAAATTTTAGAGCAGCGGGGGGGTTTCCGAGGATTGTCTCTAACTTTCAGGACTTAGCCAATTTTCGGGGGTTTTCGGAGGGCTGTTGCGACGTTTGAGGACTTAGCCGAAATGTAAAATTCGAGGCAAGGGCTACCCTAGTGGCGCACGTGCATTCAAGATTCGAAGAATCAGGGTTGTCCCCGAAGGCATACTGACAGCTCAGGGCTGGTACACGAACACTTTACTGAATCCTCAGGGTTGCACTACGATTTAAAACTGAATTCACAGGGTGAAAAATGAGCTTAAACGGATTTTTCAGGTTTGGCACCTAACAGGCATCCTGAAAATCAGGAATTCAGGATAAAACATCCTGATATCTGAGGCCCTGCTCTCAACCACATATAACCAGCTGGCATCGAAAATTTACAGTGCAGATTCGCGCTTGTCTTCAAATCTGCTCGTCTGAAAAGAGGTTTTAAAACACGCCCCTGAATCTCGGGAAGCTGAATCTCACTTCACAATTCGCGTAATCGCACTGAAACATTTCGCGTCAAAATTCGCGACACTGTAGCACGCGAGTCTGGGAAGAGGTTGCTTGGGAAGAGGCTGGTAGGAACACGCTCTTCGTAAGAAGCTCCATATGTTTCCTCGCGTTCCAGATGGCAAATCACATACCGGCTGCGTTGATCGGAAATCGGGTTGACACAAGCGGGGATCGGCTCAGCAGCTGGCTGGTTTTGCCATTTCCTCTCGGTGGAGGCTCCTGTTCGGAGAAGATCAACGGCTGGCTCGCCTTTCAGCAACCAGAGCAGATTGGCGAAGTGTAGACCTGGAACCACTTTGCACCGTACAAACTGACAGATGCGTTGTGGACATCGGATGTTGAACTTTTATTCGAACGCCACCTGCCAGGTGGCCCTGCAAGAGCTGGATTCAGGGCGCATTCGTAGCCTCTAGTCAAGGTTCTTCTTAGCTGGGCGCTTAGAGCTCTAAACCGCTCTAATCCGGCGCGCAGAGCTCTGAAACTCTCTGGAAGTCGGCCACTTGACCAGCATAGAAGCCCTGGCTAGAGGCTAGGAATCCTCCCTCATATCGGGTATCTTCTGTGCTCGGCGTGCGATGCTCTTCTAATTCTGATCGGCGGCAGCTCATGTTTCACAGGCACGGGTGGTGCGGAATGCCGTGTGTGAGGGGAGGAGGGAAGGAGGGGGACCGAATGCCATAGGAGGACCGATTCAGTCAGCACCATGCCTGGTCGGCTTGATGGAGGCAAACCAGTATGATCGTAGTGGTAGTACGGTCGTACTAGGATGATCTCACATACATACGCGCTACTGAATTTTCACAGGCACTACGCTATAATCGTACGCAAGATTGACCTTTTTTAGACAGGGCAAAGTATGCAGGGCCGACAATGCGTGGAAGGCGTTAGGAGGGGATAGCCCCAAGGGATCGTTTCGTTTCGAGAGGATCGTCGTCATCCCACATCTTTCGTGACTGGTTCTCCTGAAATGCTCGAGGAGGTGCACTTTGAGAATCCTCAAATACACGTATCATACCACTTCTTTCGTGTCTGATTCTTCTAAAATGCTCGTAATGCTGGAGAATGGGGTTTACGTTCCTGTAACGGGGGAATCTGGACGCGAAATGAGAAGTGAACTACGCGGGGGGGGGAGAAATCACAAAACGGCTGGGGAAACAGACTGCCGTGTCGCGGTGCGTACGTGGAGAAGTGAACTACGCAAAAGGGCTGCGGAAAAAGACTGCCGTATCGTGCTGCATGGAAGGAGTGCGGGAATCGGGTGGCGCGCTGCACGCTTTCTGTGCTGCTCTCTGCTGGCGGCTTGCCACGTGGCCGCCCTCGTCACAGTCGGTCGAGCTGGTGAGCTCATTATTGCCCGAGTGGGTTGTCTCCCGCGTGCCTTTTCCTCCTCGCTCTATTGATTCTGCTGCTGAGGTAAAAGAAACCAAGGGAAAAAAGAAATGGAAAAAAAAACTGCTTGTCAGCCTGTTTTTTTCTGAGTAAGAACCCTAGCTACCCTGCCGCTCAGATTATCTAGCAATTACTCAAATCCAAATCACGTAGTCTTTCATTAATCAAATCGAATCAAACAGAACCATCCCCTCTCTTCCACTGCGTCTTGCAGAATCAGCTGAGGTGCAGCACGCAGGGCCGCTGCTAGGCCGAGTGGGCCAGCTGCAGCAGCAGCTGCACCACAAGCTGCCGCCCTCTGATGGGGCAACCCAGCCACTGTCTTCAGAATTGCAAGGCTCGGACCAATTTGTGCTCTCAGAGGGATCGGATCAGCGAGGGCTTTTGCCATCAGGCGGATTGGAAATGCGTGGTGGGGGGGGGATGGGGCGAGGTGAGGAGAGGCACGGATTGGACCATGGAGGAATTGTGCCGGAGGGGATTGTCCCTGACGCCCTTGATAACAGCATTCCAGGATGCATTCGGTGAGTCTACCCTGCCTTGCACTCTTTCCTGGTGCGTTTCTGAGAGAGCCTGTCTGTGTTCGTGACGCCTTGGGTAGCAACATTCCGGGGAGCATTCGGGGAGTCTCTCTGCCATGTGCGAGGCTCTCTGCCATGTGCGGGGCTCTCTGTCATGTGCGAGGCTCTCTGCCATGTGCGAGGCTCTCTGCCATGTGCGAGGCTCTCTGTCATGTGCGAGGCTCTCTGCCATGTGCGAGGCTCTCTGCCATGTGCGAGGCTCTCTGCCATGTGCGAGGCTCTCTGCCATGTGCGAGGCTCTCTGCCATGTGCGAGGCTCTCTGCCATGTGCGAGGCTCTCTGCCATGTGCGAGGCTCTCTGCCATGTGCGAGGCTCTCTGCCATGTGCGAGGCTCTCTGCCATGTGCGAGGCTCTCTGCCATGTGCGAGGCTCTCTGCCATGTGCGAGGCTCTCTGCCATGTGCGAGGCTCTCTGCCATGTGCGAGGCTCTCTGCCATGTGCGAGGCTCTCTGCCATGTGCGAGGCTCTCTGTCATGTGTGAGGCTCTCTGCCATGTGTGAGGCTCTCTGCCATGTGCGAGGCTCTCTGCCATGTGCGAGGCTCTCTGCCATGTGCGAGGCTCTCTGCCATGTGCGAGGCTCTCTGCCATGTCATGCACTCTTTCTGGTGCCTTTTGAGAAAGAGCATGTGTTGCTGGCGCCCCCAATCCTAGCATGATTCCCTCATCTTTCCCATTCCAGCTTCACCACCCGCCACGCCCTCACTGTGCCTCTGCCTCTAATCCCCCCAGCATGAGCCCTGAGCGCCTGCAGTTGCCTCTGGAGGCCCTTCCGCAAGCCATCGACAGCAGTGAGCAGAAGAACGTCATGCTCGCATTCCGAGAGCGGACTGACAAGTAAGAGCGCGTGAGGCGAGGGGAGGGCGGGGAGGGGGAGGGAAGGGGGGATGTGGGGCTGGAGGTGCTTCCACATGCCGTTGGCAGCAGCGAGCAGAGGAACGTGGTACTTGCATGCCGTGGGCGGGCGGGCGGTTTGACATGTAAGCAGGGGTGAAGGAAGGAGCAGGGGGTGTGGTTCTGGGGGTGCTGCTTGCTTGCCGCATGGGCAGCAGCGAGCATGAAAACGTCAAGCTTGCAGTTCGAGAACGGTTTGACAAGTGAGAGAGTGTGAGGCGAGGGGGTGGGGGTGGGGATGGGGGTGGGGGTGGTTGGGGGCTGGTTCTGGAGGCGCATGCTTGCCCCATGGACAGCTTTGGGCAGTGGAACGTCATGCTTGCATTCTCTGAGTAAACCCTGACAAGTTAGAAGGCGTGAGGGGGGGAGGGCTGGCTGGGGAAGAGAAGGGTAAAGCAGAGAGAAATTCATCGAAATTTATTAAAAGTAAACCCTACACCCTAAATATAGAAATTCATCGAGATTCATCGAGAGAGGGAGAATGAGAGTTTATTTCTACCTGCAGCATGATTCCATACCATAAACCCGATACCCTTTAACCGCTACCTACCTACCATTGCTCGGAATCCGGCTATTGATCTGTTTCAACTTTCAGGGCCATGACCCCCCGTTGCCCACCTTCTGCGCAACCAGATTCGGCGACCCCATTCAGTGCCACGGCCCCTTCTGCCCTGCCTTCTCCCCCTGCGGCCCCGCCTACCCCAACGTGGACGCCGGCTGGAACGAGGAGCTCGACGCCCCTGTGTCCATGTCGGCACAAACCACCCCCCCCTCAACTATCCAACAACTTTCAGCTCGAAACAACCTGCTGCGTTCAACCCTCCCTCCCCCCCCCCCCATTCCCTCCCTCCCTCCATCCCTCCCTCCCTCCCTCCTTCATGCATTAAGGTTTGGCGACCGGATTCAGTGCCACGGCCAGCCTTGCCCCGCCTTCGCCCCCTGCAGCCCCGCCTACCCCAACGTGGACGCCTGCTGGAACGAGGAGCTCGACGCCCCTGTGCTCGTGCCGGCCCGCGCGCCTCTCAACTGCCCGAAAACGTTCAGCTTGAAGCGGCCGCGGTTTCCATGGCAGAACCTCGACAGGACGTGCTCGCACCGAAAGGACTTTAACCCCAGGGAGCCCTCGTCCATGCAGGTTCGTGTCTTGTTGTGGAATCTGAGCGTGTGGCGTGTTGCTGCATAGGGCCGTTGGGTTGATCCCATCGGTTCTGGAAGGGCTACAGGTTCCGTTTGAGGGGGATGTGGTGTGGTGTGCTGCTGACCCACCATTTCAGCACGGGATTACCAACCCTGCTGGTTAGCGGACTGGAGTTCTAATGTGGTGCTGAAGAAACGTTGAGCCGCCCCGCTTGGTCAGCTCCCAGCGCAGAGGGCTGGTGCTGTATTGCGCTGGTGCTGTATCGGGCCACTAAAACGACTTGTGAGATCATGGAAGGGCTACAGGTTTTGTCCTAGGGGGTTGTGGGTGTGCTAACCCTCCAATCCAACGTGCCCCTTAGGAGACTGCAGCTCTAACATGGCAGGACCCTGCCTGGACTCGCCATAGAACGCCATTGAACCCAAGGGAGTTCAGGGCCGGAGAGCAGTCATTCATACAGGTCTGTGTCTTAGGAAACGCTGGTGCATCAACGCTGGTGCATCAACGCTGGTGCATCAACGCTGGTGCATCAACGCTGGTGCATCAATGCTGCGCATCAACGTTGATGCATCAACGCTGGTGCATCAACGCTGGTGCATCAACGCTGGTGCATCAATGTGGCGCATCAACGTTGATGCATCAACGCTGGTGTGTCAACGTTGGTTCATCAACGCTGGTGCATCAACGTTGGTGTATCTTGATAGTAGAATGTGGGTGCACGTAGGTGTGCGTACCACAGTGCACTTCTCCTTGCATGCGGCAATGCACGTTACTCTGTATGCCATGCCATGATGCCATGATGCCCTTCCTCAATGCATGACATCGCGGTTTTGTCTCGAACGTCACACCATCATGCATGGAACTCCTGTGTTAACCCCCATACTCGTTACATGCACCTCTCTACAGATGTTCCGTCTGCATGACGTCATGGTGTCCTACAAGGGCTTTGTCTTCAATGCCTCTCACCGCTTTGTACATGACGGCTGCAAGCGCTTCCACAGGGTAAGTCGTTCTTAGCTGTGGTGTTTCCACTTGTAGGAAATGCACCTAGTGGCAGCACCCTCCCACAAGGGCTTTGTCTTCAACGCCTCACTGCTTTGTGCGCGATGGCTGCAAGCGCTTCCATAAGGTACGTGGTTGTGGTGCTTCTGCTTACCAGGAATGGTGTTTCTGCCGACATGAAATGGTGCTCGTTCAAGGGCACACTTCTTCCAAGGGCTTTGCCTTCAACTCCTGACACTGCTTTGTGCCACCAGGGCTGCAAACGGCTCGACAAGGTAAGTCGTTGCGAGGTGTGGGCTCTCTGCTCATTAAACTCATGCTCGAGGAGAGCCCACAAGGGCTTGGTTTATAGCTGGCACCGCTTTGTACGTAACTGGCACCGCTTTGTTATAACTGGCACCGTTTTGTGCACCAGGCCTGCAGACGGCTCAATAAGGTCGCTGCTCTGTTCGCCACAGATGCAAACTGTCTGATGGAGTTAGTAAGGAGGTGTGCCTGAAAACGTTCAGTTGTTGATTGTAGCAAGGCGTTCAGGTCTCCAATGGCATGTTCAGGTCTCCAATGGCATGTTCAGGTCTCCAATGGCATGTTCAGGTCTCCAATGGCATGTTCAGGTCTCCAATGGCATGTTCAGGTCTCCAATGGCATGTTCAGGTCTCCAATGGCATGTTCAGCCATTGGAGAACGCAGAGGTTCACGCAGGGTCCAATGGCAGTCCCTTCGGAAACTTAGGCTTTAAGCTGTTTGATAGGGTGATTCTCTGTGTAGGTAGTGGTGTGTGGTGTGAGATCCTGTGCTATTGTGAGCTGATGTGCTGTTATGAGGTAAAGCCATACTCCACCCACCCACCCCTCTCCTGCGAAAATCCCTCAACCAGTACTCCTACCCTCGGGGCCAGAAGGTGCGCCGCATCAAGGTAGCATTCGACCGGGGCTACACTCAGGGAGGCAACTGCTACCACATCCTAGCCGAGGCCCTCCTCTCACACGCCTTCCTCCCGTTGCCCCTTCTTCCTGCCTTCAACCATCCAGTATTCGTACCCCCGGGGCCAGAAGGTGCACCGCATCAAGCTGGCATTCGACTGGGGCTACACGCAGGGTGGCAACTTCTACCACTTCCTCGTGGAGGCCATCCCCTCGTTCTTCCTGGCCGCCACTGCGATTCCCAACCTCAGAAACATCCCCATCATTGCAGAGCGCTTCCAGGTGGGTTGGCCTTCCAGGTGGGTTGGCCTTCCAGTCCAGGTGGGTTGGCCTTCCAGGTGGGTTGGCCTTCCAGGTGGCTCTAAATCAGCGAGGCAGCTCGTACTACAGCTTTCAAGTGGGTTGGCCTATGAGTCGACTCAACGGCTGCTCCTCCGAGCCTCTTAGGAACATCCCCAGCATTGCACTTGCCGCTGCAGCTGTGCTCCCCTTGAGAGACATTCTCATCGTTAGACATGGCTTAACACCGAGCGTGGCTCGGCTCGGTTTGAATCGAGCCAAGTAGAAAATCTCGCCGGCTCAGCTCGGCCCGACAAGGTAAGGAACTGTGTGTGGGGTGGGGTTTGGAGTTGGTGCATGACAAATCAGGGGAAAACAGATCTGGAGATCTGTTTTCCGATGTCGGCATTGACCTCTTGCTGGTGCGGCTGCGAAATGCTTAGGGTACATTCGGGGCTCGTGTCATCCTGACTTCCGGTCATCATTTGCCCCATTCTGGAAGACTCTAAGTTCCGAAATGCTGGCAAATAATGACCGGAAGCTGAGGTGGCACGAGCCCCGAATGCACCCTTATTTTGCAGTAGCTGACCTGACCCCCGTGTTACAAATTTCGTATCTTACCTAAAGGGTTTGCGAATTTCGTTGCTGACCCCTCAGTTGGGTTACGAAATTCGTGACTGGTCCTGTTGGAGGGGGTTGCGGATTTTGGTAATTGACTCCGCAGTAGGGTGTTGCGAAATTCGTAATCAATCTTTCTGGAGGAGGTTTCGAATTTCGAAACCGGCTCCTTTTGGGGGTTGCGAAATCCGCAACTGTCCCCTCAGACGGGGTTGCGAAGTCAACCGCTCAGCTGGTGGTTGTCGGAACATAGATCTGTTTTCCCGATGTCTCGTAGGCCTTGGCTCGGAATCGAGCCGAAATCGAGCTGGCTCGAGTCATCTTTGCTGGTCGAGCCGAGCTGATCTGCTGGCTCGACCGGCTTGACCCCGCTCGGCTTGGGTCGAGCCGGCCAAAAAAACAAAACCTCGGTTCGGCTCGCCTGGCAGGGCATGTTGCCCATGTCTACTCATCGTTGTACTGTGGTTCTGGTGGGTTAATTTGTGTCTCTACTGCTATGGAAATAGAGTAAAACCAAAGGATTCGGAAATCTAACACCATGAAAGCCCCAAGTGAGTGTCTTTCGTAAGTGCGCAGAGCCCGATCCTGAGAGGAAGAAAATGTTTAAATTAGGCGAACAACTGGCGACCAGTTAGGCGAAAGCAATGCGCACTCCAAGCTTGCAGCCAATTTAAAATGGCGACAGGCGAAACATTAACCAGCAAAATAAAAGCGTGAGATCAGCCCTATATGCTCACGATAGTTTGTTAAAAAATAACTGCGAAGGGATTTGCAAAATATAACCAACTATGTCCTCTAACAAAACTCTAGCATTATTACTCAACAGAGCATGAACAAGCACTACGAAACAACATTGATACTCGATGAGAAGAACAAGCCTCTACGAAAACAAACCACTTGTATTCAATAGACACATTGCAGTATGAAGACATTGCACGTGAACGGCATCATTCTTCGTCCGTGTGCAGTTATGCGGCGGTTTGCATGGCCTGAAAAGAATTATTGCGGCAACGCCCTGCAATATGCATCTAGACGCTTACACTTACATATCGTACCGTATTGTGGGACACACAGAGTTTGACGAGACGTCGTTCGTGCGCGTGTGCACGTCAAGTTGCATTGCGCGGTCGTATTCGTGCTATGACAAAATCATGTTGTCACTGTATGTACTTACGTGTATTGCCGTATCAGCGGAGAGTGAAATGCATTGTTTGATCAGTACTATCACATGCCTTGAATCTATATCATGGTTCCATTGTTGTCGCTAGGTCCCTTCAAGTGATTGTTGGAAAAATAGTGCTGGTGGCGTGACTATATTGAAAAGGCATGCCTGTATGATAGATCATCAGCACATGTGTAAATTGCTTGCTGAGAGGGTCTGTTGTGGTAAAATAACCACACCAATAGAAAGCCAAGCTAGTGAAAATGAAAGCTCAAATCAAACTAGGGTTGAGCAAAATACCCGCGCGGGTCGGGTACCCGGACCCGGATTCGCTTTTAGGGCCGGTCAGGTATCAGGATTCCCGAGTATTACCCGGCGGGGCGGGTCCGGGTAACCCGGGCGGGTAATCGATACCCGCTACCCGAAATGTTGCCCGACATGTCGGGTAACAGGTGCCCGACCCGAAATCGGGTAGCGCGTCTACTCGACAGAACCAGCGCGACATTGGTCGCACTGGTAGAGAAATTTCAGCAAGGGTTTGGCGTACGTGAGCTGCTAGGTCACGCAGAGCATTGTAGAGGGGCAGGGGTTGGATTTCGTAGATCCAGATGTATTCAGAGCGGTTAAATTGGGGGAATTTGGTTGGAATTCAAACCAATCGAATTTCCCCAATTGAATTTGCAACCCAACCTGAATACAAGCAACCGCACAGCACCACATTGGTTGGAATTCCAACCAATTGACTCTAGGGGTCGAAATATCAAACCCACTAAAACCGCACACAACCCCATCCCAACTAGAAACCCCAACCACCTCCCCACTCAAGCCCCACTCACCAGAACTGTAAAAGATCTGGTGCACCTCATACTCCCTCCCGCAACTCACGTTTTTTAAGCACTATCTAGATCGGAGGTTTAGCCCAACAGGGTAGGAAAATGCTGGTAATACTACCCGCTTTCCAAGGAAACCGGGTCGGGAATACCCGGACCCGCGGGGCGGGTATTAAATTACCCGCCCCCGAATCCCGGGTCCGGGTATTGGTCCTGGGCATGTTACCCGTCCCAGAAATACCCGACCCGAACTCGGGTATTTCAAAACTGGGTCGGGTCGGGTAAATACCCGGTTTTGCTCATGCCTAAATCAAACCAAGGTCTATCCAAGGCCAACTCGTTGCGATGTGAAGTGTATGAATGGACAAAATTTAGCAAGGTTGCGGGCGTAGCTTTATCCCTTGATACCCATGGATAGGATTTCGCACTCCAGGGTGCTCACTCATGCTACGAGTTGAGCGGCGGTGGCTAGGTCATAGAGGTTTAGACCCGCCGTCTTTTGGCATGGAGTGGTGAAGCTTGTAGCCACTAGCACTTGTATGCTTGGAAAATGTTGAATCAAAGCGAGCCTTTAGTCCTAACTGGCTCTCATGCCAACTTGTAATAAGGGGGGTTTAAATTAAAATGGACTGTAGGATTGTAACAAAAGTATTGTAAGACAGCAGAAGTCTTTGTAGGTTGGATGACCTTGTAAGAGTGAATGTAAAATAACAAGATGATAATAACATAGACTTCAAACAAATATATTGTCCTAGCTAGCCAAGAACTCTGAAGGGTTACATTCCCTTTGGGGCTAAACTAGACTCGATATCCGTTCCGCTGTACTAGCAGTTGCAAACCATTGAACTGATGGTATGCGTCGATGTGCTGCTGTAGCTGCCGCTGTAGTTGTTGCTGCTGTAGTTCTGCTGCTCAGGTGGCTCCTCAATTTTCTATCGGCAACTTCTACCCTTCCCTTCCGCTGCTCCCTTTTCCGTTTCTCGTTTCCCACTCCCCCGTCCCTCCATCTCCCCGTCCCTCCATCTCCCCGTGTGTAATGAGTCGATTTTTGAGTCGACTCAAAAATCGTGTGTAATGAGTCGATTTTTGAGTCGACTCAAAAATCCGTGTGTAATGAGTCGATTTTTGAGTCGACTCAAAAATCGACTCATTACACACGGAGTCGACTCAAGAGTCGACTAAAAAATCGACTCATTACACAAAATCATCACCCCGTCCCTCCATCTCCCCGTCCCTCCATCTCCCCGTCCCTCCATCACCCCGTCCCTCCATCTCCCCGTCCCTCCATCACCCCGTCCCTCCATCTCCCCGTCCCTCCATCACCCCGTCCCTCCATCTCCCCGTCCCTCCATCACCCCGTCCCTCCATCACCCCGTCCCTCCATCACCCCGTCCCTCCATCACCCCGTCCCTCCATCACCCCGTCCCTCTCCCCCGTCCCTCCATCACCCCGTCCCTCCATCTCCCCGTCCCTCCATCACCCCGTCCCTCCATCTCCCCGTCCCTCCATCTCCCCCTCCCTCCATCACCCCGTCCCTCCATCTCCCCGTCCCTCCATCACCCCGTCCCTCCATCTCCCCGTCCCTCCATCTCCCCGTCCCTCCATCACCCCGTCCCTCCATCTCCCCGTCCCTCCATCACCCCGTCCCTCCATCTCCCCGTCCCTCCATCACCCCGTCCCTCCATCTCCCCGTCCCTCCATCACCCCGTCCCTCCATCACCCCGTCCCTCCATCACCCCGTCCCTCCATCACCCCGTCCCTCCATCACCCCGTCCCTCCATCTCCCCGTCCCTCCATCACCCCGTCCCTCCATCTCCCCGTCCCTCCATCTCCCCGTCCCTCCATCTCCCCGTCCCTCCATCTCCCCGTCCCTCCATCTTCTTTCACTCACACAAGATATGAGGTGGGCATGCTTTTTTTCTTCTTCTTAATCCCCTAACCCTCCCCCCACCCTCACAAATGCTACCAGTGGGACCTGTACGACGCCATCGGGCACATCTTCATCGGAGTGAATCAAACGGACATGAGAGCAGTCCAAGTAGGCGAAGGGGACCTTTTTCATGCCGACACGATGTATGTGGTGAGTGCTTGTGTGCGTGGATGGATGGTAGGGTTGGTGGTTGGGTGGATTGGTGGGTGGATGGTGCCATAGGTGAATGTTGGCCTATCTATTGTTAATTGTTCATTGTTGATTGCTGGTCCCGTCCCTCCCTGCTTGCGGGTCCCTGCCCTGCTGGTCGCCGTCTGCAACCAAAAGGCTGTAAAATCTTCACTGCTTGAATTGGCCCTGTGGCTGTTAGAATCTCTTTCTTTACGACACGGTATACCCTGTGTGGTCATTCTTTGGCTCTCCATTGTCTTCCTCTTCCTTCCCAGCCCATGCTGCAGGAGTGTGGGGGCCCCAACAAGGCTCTCTGGATGGAGCTGAGGAGACACCACCTGCTGCACCCGCGGGGCCTGCCTCTTTTCAATCCAGACTTCTCCTACCACTGGCGCCGGCCGCTCTCCTACCAGCAGCTCACCCACCTGCCACCTGACTGGGTGGTCGTGCTGGCCCGCCGCCCCACTTTAAAGCGCTCCATTACCAACTTTGAGGAGGTGAAGGAGGCCGTGCTGGCGATGTTTCCCCCGGAGAGAGTTGTGGTTTTCAACGGCTCTCTGCAGCTGTTGGAAGGTGCGTGTCTCTTCGTCCAAACAGGGAGGGTTTCTGTGGCTGCTGGAAGGTGCGTAACTCTTTCAAGTTCCGTGATGCGGGATGGGTGGGCGCTTGCAATGGTGGCAATGTGCCCGAGTCTTTACGTGCAAGGTTGAGAGAGGGATGGTGCAGGCTGGGATTAGTGATGAGAGTGACCTGCAGGGTGTCCTTGGACTCATGAACCCCTTGGACTCGGATTGTAGTGGAGGGGAGCCCATGGGGGTGGGGTAGCTCCCTCCAATCTCATGACTGTGCCCCTTTTCCCCACAATGCCATAACCCCCACCTCCCCACCCTCCCTTCCAATTTCACAGCTCGCGCTTTGTTCCGCCGAGCTCGTCTCTTTGTGGGCGGCCATGGGGCGGCGCTCTCCAACCTCATCTTCATGCCTGTCAAATCGCACCTTCTGGAAATACGACCTGACGAATGCCCTGTCAAGTGTTACAATAGTCTTGCCTATGCATGTTCTATAAAATACTATCTACTGTTTAGCAAAGGAACGTGTAGCTCTACTGTTGTTGCTGATGTTTCAAGACTAGTTAGAACGTTAAAGGCTATAGCCACATATTTAAGGAGAGAGGACGACAGACTCGGAAGGGCTTGGGAGGAGCATGCTTGACAATAGATTATGTCAAACATATATTGTATGTTTTTGTAGACTATATAGGGTTGTGCCTTAGGGAGTACAACACATTACGTTATATTCCCTTGTATGTCTTGTTCTAGTTATTATTTCACTTGAACATGGTATCAGAGCAGGCCCCCCCCCCCCCCCCCCCCCCCCTAGCGCTTCCGCCCTAGGTCCTAGCCGCCTCGTCACCCCGCGGCCCCGTCCCCTAGCGGCCCCGCGGCCCAGTCCCCTAGCGGGCCCGCGGCCCCGTCCCCTAGCGGCCCCGCGGCCCAGTCCCCTAGCGGCCCCGCGGCCCCGTCACTTAGCGGCCCCACGGCCCCGTCCCCTAGCGGCCCCGCGGCCCCGTCCCCTAGCGGCCCCGCGGCCCCGTCACCTTGCGGCCCCGCGGCCCCACCACCTAGCGGCCCCGCGGCCCCGTCCCCTAGCGGTCCCGTCACCTAGCGGCCCCACGGCCCCGTCCCCTAGCGGCCCCTCGGCCCCGTCACCTTGCGGCCCCGCGGCCCCGTCACCTAGCGACCCCGCATCCCCGTCCCCTAGCGGCCCCGCAGAGCGGCCCCGCGGCCCCGTCACCTCGAGGTCCAGCCGGCCCCGCCTCCTAGCCGGCCTCGTCGCCCAGCCGGCCCCGTCTCCTTGCCGGCCCCGCGTCTTTGCCGGCCCCGTTGCCTTGCCGCCCGTGGCCCCGTCTTCTAGACGCCTCGCCGCCGTCCTCGGCCCCTCTGCACCGCGCTACACCGCCCGGCACCGCTCTGCACCGCACGAAACCACACTGCACCCTACCGTACTGCACCTCCCTCCACCACATAGTACCGCACTGCACCGCACATCACCGCTTTCCGTCTCGCTCTCCTGCCCAGCACTGTCTTTCTCCTGCTGCTGCAACCATGATGGCAGACTCGGTCCTCCGCTTTGATGCTGAGGGGCAGCCGATTGAGTTCGACTCGTGGCTCGTCGACCTCCAGCGACACCTGACTGGTCAGCGGCAGGACGGCCACTCCCTGGCCGTCCACATCGACGGTACGCTCCCCTGCCCTGACCCCACCTTTGTTGACCGTGAGTCCGCTGCAGCAGCTGCTCTTGCCCGTGCTGTCTGGTTGTCGCGTGACGCTGTCGCACAGCTTGCGATTAGTCATGCCCTTCCCCTGTCCGAGCGCCCCCGCTTTAGGTCCGTCACGACTGCGCAGGAGTTCCTAGAGGCTGTTGTTTCACGCTATTCCACCCCGCCCTCTGCCTCTTTAGGTCGCCTAATCCTGCCCATGCTCTTTCCTGACTTTGTGTCTTTCCCCACTGTCGCTGACCTAGCCGCCCACCTGCGCACGCCAGACAGGACCTGGCGCGCTGCCTGCACTAAGGCTCAGCTTCATGTGTTTCAGCCCCCCATCTGCTCTTCCCTCTACCTGCTTGTCACCTGCCTCCCTGACTGCCTTGCCACCGCCTGCGATCACTTCCTTAGTCTCCACCCCGCTGACCTCACCCTCACTAACTTTGTCGACACCCTGTCTGCCATAGAGACCCGTTAGCGCTCTATCGCCCAGTCTAGCGGTACCATGCCAGTCTCTATCTTTCAGGGCTGTGCCCTTGCTCAGTGCTCTTACTCCGACAGTTCTGCTGCGGTTGCTGTGGAGACAGCCGCCGCAGTGCAATTTCGTCCGGGTAAGGGTAGCCACCCCAAGGCTGGGTGCGGCGGAGGTAGCGAAGGAGGGGGTGGTGCCGGTGGTGGAGGTGGCTCGCCCGCTAGTAGTACCGACGAGGGGGCTGGGGCTGGTGCCCCGGAGCAGCAGTAGGCTTCGCAGCTGGACCACCAGCAGCAGCAGGCGCAGCAGCAGCAGCAGCAGCCGCAGAGGGTCGGCCGTCTCCCGCCCGGGTGGCCTGGAGCTGGAGGTGACGGTGGTCGCAGTGGTCGCTCGCGCGGAGTGCCGTCGGGTGGTAGTCAGAGTGCCGGGCGCTGCCAATACCAGCTCCAGACCAGTCCTCGCCGCGGCCTCGTGTGCGGTAAGATCGGTCATACCCCCGCTCGTTGCTTTCGTCGCCTAGACGACCTGTTTCGTCTCCGCTTCGGCCTGTCGCCTGACCTCCACGACTGGCACAGACTGCTCCGTCGTCGTGTTCAGATCTTTGATATGGACATGGATGAGATTAGCTCTGCTTTGTATGCGCTGTGTGTTGATGACTCTAGTGTGACTGGTTCCTATTACACCGTGTTGCCTAGCGTAGGTGTGCCCAGTGTGCCTAGTTCAGGCTCCCCTGCTGCGTCACGCGTAGGATCCCCTACCTTGTATTGCCTAGGGTCCTCCCTCGCCCCTCCGACCTTTGTCGCCGCTGCCGTGCTCTCCTTCACCCTGGACTTCGGCGCTTCCCGGTGTTTCTTTCGCGACTCCACGATGCTTACGCCGCTTGCCGCTCCTGCTGCAGTTGCTCTTGCAGACCCTTCCTCCGGTCCTGTAGTTGCATGTAGCTCCACTACTCTCCGCTGTTCGGCGGTTCCCTCAGGCTCCCTTACAGGCCTGCACATCCCCTCGTTCTCTAGGAACCTAGTTGGTGTCGGCTGCCTTTAGGACCATGGCGTCACCACTACGTTCCCTGGGCACGAGTGGTATGCTGTCTGTACTGAGGCCGCCACTGGTGCCCCCCTCACCATGTTCCCTCGGGACCCGGTGTCTGGCCTGTTCACGCCGGACACCGCTTCCCCCTCGGTTGGGACGCCTCCCCAGGTACCTGCGTCTTCCCAGGTTGCTGCGGCGTGCTCGTGTCGGTCGCTTACTCACCCGTCACTTCTATGGCACCACCATCTACGTCACCCCGCCCTCACCCGTCTCCGTCACATGTCCCAGCACCGTCTTGTCCTAGGCCTCCCTGAGTCGTTCCCTGTGCTCCCCTCCTCACCCGCGCCTCCGTGCACGCCCAGCGTCGAGGGCCGGCTCCGCCGTGCCCCTCACTCCTCCTCATTCCCCCCTACCTCCGCACCACGGCACACCCTGGACATGGACGTCTGGGGCCCCGCCCCCGTCCATGGGCCGGTCGCGAGCGCTACTTCCTAGTGCTTGTCGATGACTACACCCGCTACACCATAGTCTTTCCCCTGGAGCGGAAGGCCGACGTGCCTGGCGTTCTTCTCCCGTGGCTTGTCTTTGCGCGTGTTCACCGAGGTCTCCTCGTCTTGCGTCTTCACTCCGACCGTGGTGGAGAGTTTGCCTCTGGCTGCCTTGGTTGCTTCTGTCATGCGGAGGGCATTACCTAGACGTTCACCCTGCCGGACTACCCGCATCAGAATGGGGTCGTTGAGCGACGCATCGGTTTGGTCATGGAGGTGGCTCATACCTCCATGATCCATGCCGGTGCACCCCATTTTCTGTGGCCGTTCGCCGTTCACTACGCCGCTTACCAGCTTAACCTCTGGCCGCACCCTCAGCGGTCGCAGGTTTTGCCGACCCTCCTCTGGACCGGGTCCCCTGGTGACGCGCCTGCTTTCCACGTTTGGGGCTGCCTTGCTCACGTTTGTGCCTCTGGCACGGACAAGCTCACTGCCCGCACAGTCCCCTGTGTCTTCCTAGGTTTCCCCCTCGACTCGTCGGACTGGCAGTTCTATCATCCGCCGTCTCACCGTTTCTTTCACTCTCGCGACGTCACCTTTGATGAGTCCGTCTCCTTCTACCACCGCTTTCCCCACCGTGGTCCCCCGGTCACTCCCCCCCAGTTCCTGGTGCCCCCCCCTTCTCCGGTCGACCCTGTCCACCCCCCTCCCCGCCCTACCCCGTTTGGTGTGTCTCACGTCACCCCCCTCCCGTCGGTTGTCCGTGCTGAGGAGTCCGCTGACTCTCGCGGCTCGGCGGAGTCTCTTCCCCCACCTGTCCCGTGCCCTGGTCTCGCCTCCCTTGTCGCCACCGCTGCTGTCCCCGCCGCAGCCGCCTCCGCCGCTGCCGCCGCAGCCGCAGCCGCCGTCGTCACCGCCGCTGGGGTTCGTGCGTTCTGGGGGTGCTGGGGAGAGGGCTGGAGCTGGCTCTGGGGGTGCTGGCGTGGGGCTTCTCGGAGGGAGCCGTGTTGTCGCTGGAGGTTCTGGTGTTGGAGTCGGGCAGCAGTTGCAGCTGTCGCCGTCGGTGTCTGCTCTTCGCCTCCTTGGTCTCCCTTCCCCTAACCGCCCGTCGTTGCCTCCCCCGCTGCCGCTACCTCCTCCTCTGCCGGTCCACGGCCCTGTGTTTCGTCCCCCGGACTCCTCTGCAGCTCGTTTCCCTCCCCGCTCTCCTCCTCTGTCTCCTCCCCTCTCTCCTGACCCGACTCCTCCGTCTCACGTCTGGTCTCGTCGTCCGTCTCGTGCTCGTCCTACCTCCCCTGTTCCGCGTTCTCACCCTATGTTGCTTCGCTCACACGCGTCTTGTGCTCCTCCTCTCCTCCCATCTCCTCCTCCGTCGTCGCTTGCTGTGGCCCTGCCTCCGTTCTCGGACTTCCTCTGTGCTGCGCATCCCCTTGTTCCTCGTGTCCTTGCCTCTCTCGTTTCTGACCCGTCCATTCCTGTCTCGAGTCTGTCGGCTCTTGTCGCTGCTGTCACTGACTTCACCGCTACCCGCCGCCTGGACTACGCCACCGCTCTGGTGTCTGACCCTGCCTGCCCTCCGACCGTCAGGGGTGTGGCTGCTCTTGGCAGTGACATCCTAGAGGATACGCATTTCAAGCTCCCTTTCATGTCTGAGGCCGCTCCCCATCTCTGTTCCATGCTACTAGTCCCTGAGGGTGACCCCTCGCACCTACGCTGAGGTGACCTCGGGACACTGGGCCTCTCAGTGGATAGCTGCCATGGAGCAGGAGATGGCATCTTGGAGATCCACCGGTACCTACGTCGACGCAGTTCCCCCTCCTGGGGTGAACGTAGTCGATGGCCGGTGGCTCTTCAAGGTGAAGCGCCCTCCTGGAGAGCCGCCTGTCTTCAAGGCGCGCTACGTCGCTCGAGGCTTCAGTCAGCGTGAGGTGGTGGACTTCTTTCAGACCTTCGCCCCGACCCCGAAGATGACCACTCTTCGGGCGCTGCTACACGTAGCAGCACAGCGTGACTACAAGCTGCACTCCCTCGAATTCTCCACTGCTTTCCTCCAGGGCAGTCTA